TCTCTACCAAGCCTCTGAAAACCAATAAACAGATCATCTTTACCAAAACCATCCCTAATTAAGCTTTAACTTTAATATACGATGCTACCAATATATATAAATACTTATATATATAGTACAAGAATCTTATCTGTTAATAGGGCATTAAATTGTCAAAACCACTCACCAATAATTAATTACTAGTCATACCTAGACCAAAACCCCCCTTTTATAATTTTCTCATAAAGTGAACCCCACTCACCTTAACTCCATCCTAAACAGTAATTTAGTTATCTACACATATAGCAATTTAAATATGCACCGGCAAATCAACCATGCCATTTATAAATATATTTATTTATATACTAGCAATTCAACCATGCTTCCTTCAATATATTTACTTTTACAATTAATTAGCAATTCAACCATGCTTCCCATATATGAAATTTATTCATAACCAATAAGGCAGTATATCAAAGCCTTTGGCAACTCATCCATGCTTACAATTCAACCATGTACTAACTTAAAACTTAACTCTAGGTATAATTATACATAGACTTTACATACATATAATAATCATGTCCTTAATTTAATAACCGTGTATCTATTACGATTTTAAATCAACCATACCATACACGAATCAAGTCATACCAAACAAGATTTATAATATTTAATAATCTTAAATAATATATATATACACATATATTTTATAATATATATATATGTGTGTATCATACATTCCATACCAATCGTTGACAATTTAAAATCATATCTACATATATATACACATATATACACCTCCTTTCATTGCAAAAATATTTAATTAATTATATTTATACCACTAAATGCTACTAGGTATCTTAATAACACTCTGAGGCTCTCAGAACATCAAGAACACATCCTCTAATGATTAATTTTAACCCTAACAAGCTTAAGATAAATACTGGAACTTTACCGGAGTCTCAAACAACTTTCCAGGACCTCACACGCATCCCCACGCGCCTTCACGCGCCGCCACATACCCCTAGACTACTCCCACGCGCCTCCACGCGCTTCCCCTTACCGGCAGGCGCGTCCACGCGCCTGCACGCGCCTGAGCCACTCTCGGCGCGTGTTGGCAGCTCCTAATTGGTTGTTGTTTGGTGCTCTTGGTAAGCCGCGATGCACTGGATCCTCTCCCTTAATCAACTACATCTAACCATTGATGCCGCATGTGTATCAACTTACAATGGACCGCATCACACCAGATCAATCCAACTAAATTAAATTAATCCTATGGCCTAGATCAACGAGTGCACCCTTTTCCTACGTACGCGACCACACTGGATAAAAATCCTATTGATGCGCAAATACTAGCCGCCTCCAGTGTGGTTGTTAAACAATTTAACATACATACATACATATATATATATATATATATATATATATATATATATATATATATATAAAACAATTTCTAAATTAACATTAAAAATATAAATTAATTTCAGAAATTGTTCAGAAAATCTCAGAAAAATCCCAAAAGCTCTATTTATTATTTTGGGCATAAATGAAAATATACAATTAAATTAAAATCCATTTAATTTAATTAATCGTGCTACACAAGGTTAATGCAAAATATAAAAATTTTAGAAAAAATAAAATTTAATTAACCTAACCTCACATACAAGATCTAAATTATCAGAACAATGCATACATATATTCACATGTTTAATTCTATAATTTTGTAAAGAATAAATATGCTCCTCCAATCTGAATAATAATTTAATTTAATAAAATAAAATTATAATTTCGATAATCAAGGTGATAAGTTTATGAGTTCTAAGAGGAGAAGTAGAGAGGAACTCGCCTTTTCTTTTTCAAATCCGGTCTCCTCTTACGTTCTTTGATCCGGCCTCCTCTTTGTTAGCCCTTCTTCTTCTCTCTCTAATTCTTTTATTTTTCTAACGTGGAAAAACTCCTAACCCTAAAGTCTTATGTGTCTATTTATATATATACAAAAACTAAATCCTTTTCCCATTAGGATTATCATATAAAATAAATAATATTTATCTTTTAAATAATATATATACATACATATATTTTAATATAAACATATATATATTACCTTCCATATATAACCATTAGTTAAATAAATTATATATACCTATATATATCAATGTATAATTATATTGACATATATACCCCTCCACATGATTTAATAATGAATTAATATACACATGTAATTATATAGGTATAATTATGCAAAGATAATTATTAAATATCCTCACAACCACGGGCCTTTACCAATTAACCCAACAAGGCTTCCTTCAAGCCCAATACCACATCCGTTGGTCCAACTTCCTTTAATCCCAATCCAAATAACTTAAATACCTAAAATAATGAAATTAACTAAAGTTACACCAACATAAAATCACGCAACTCAAATAAACAATTCACTAACTAGCATTCCACAAATCAAACACCGTATAAATTTAACAAATAAAATTACAAAATATAATAAAACAAATCACAACTATCAAGCACCTAATTAAATAAAACAAATCATTTAAAAATAATAATAATAATAATATAATATAAATTAATTTAATTAATAAATCCTTTTTAAAATATCGGGGTATTACAATATGCTTGTCTATCTGAGTATATTGTATACGTTTGTTCATCTTGACATGATTATATGCAGCATATCATCATGCTTTACGTCCTTCTCCTTTATACTTTGACATGTTTTATGTGATCTTATTACTTGTGTGAGTAGATAGTCTGTTGCTATATTGTATGCTAGCTGTCCCCTTTTATGTCTGGCTTTGGCATTGTCTCTTAGGATCTGTCGTATCCCTTGGATGTATTCTTGTTTCACGAGTTTCTTCCTTAGATAGGAGAAATTCATTCTGTAAGGACCTATGTCGGGAACCTTCTTGTCTGTTCTGTCGATTGATGCGAGTAAGGCTCATGTGAGTGTAGAGGACTGCGATTCACTTTTTTTTTCCTTGTCTGGTGGTTTGAGACGTGGGCCAGGGAGGCACTGTTTCATTTCCTTTTCCTTCGTACCTTCTAGATCTAAGGCCTTAAGCATAATGGTGCCAGTGTCATTGTTGTCAGAGTTTTGGGATTAGCTACCCCAACTCTCGCAGATGCCTAGTTTCCGTAGTGCCTCTGGTAATGACCATTTTCGACATTGATGTCATTTGTATCGAAAAGTTCCCTTCTGGAGTATGTTACGAACTAGTGCCTCATACTGTCATGCTACCTTACTGACGAGTAAGTGTGGGCGAGTTCTGGTCACTGTTCGTACTGCCTTGTCAATTGGAGAAGCATAACAAGGCGACGACTTTCCTCCAGTCGAACTTCAGAAAATACTTCTCCAATTAAGGGAAGAGGCTACCTGCTAATGATTCTTCCTCTCACCTCATCAAACTCAACATTGAGTCCTATGAGAAATTTGAAAATAGGATTGTTTTCAACAGTCTTCCAATAATGGTTGCAATCTTCAGAAGACTTCCACTCGTAATCGTTGAATAGGTCTAGGTCCTGCCACAGACGCTTCAAAGAATTGAAGTACTTTGTGACAGTGTCTTCACCTTAACGAATTTCACTAAGTTTCAATATTAATTCCTAGACTTGGGACTGATTTCCTAAATCAGAATACATTTGGTTGACATTGTCCCAAAGCTCCTTAGCAGTGTGATAACACATATAGTTGGAGCTTATATCTTCATTCATGGAGTTCACGAGCCACGTCATCACCATTGAATTCTCGGCATCCCAAGTAGGATACGTTGGATCTTCAAGCATAGGTTCCTTCTTATCTCCAATCAAATATATGATTTTTCCTCTGCCTCGGATATATATCCGTACAGATTGCAACCAGCACAGAAAGTTTTCTCCATTCAGTCGGATGGTAGTGATTTGGATAGAGTATGAGTTTTCTCCATTCAGTCAGATGGAGTTTGAATCGGAATTAAGGTTGGCTTGAGATTCAGAGGGTTTTGGTTGCTGGACATTGTCGTTGGAGGATTCAGAAACAACATCAGACATGGTGTTAAAGGTATTTTGATGTAATACGGCTAGGGTTTTTTTTTTCTTTTTCTTTTCTTTTCAAGGGGATCGATGCTCTGATACCATATAAACAAATATGGAGAGAAAAAAGTATATTGCCATGTGTTTAAATTGTTTACAATGTATTTCTTAAATAGAATTATAGGGAGATAAATTAGGAAACTAACAACTGTACACCAGCTAATTTCCCTAATTTCTAGCAGTTGATAAAATCTCTTTCTGTTTATATTTACATGCCTATTCCACTCCTAAAATCCGGTGCAATAACCACCAAATATTCTCCTTTCTAACAATTATCCAAGTAGAACGAAACAAAACACTTAAATAGTAGCACAGTAGCTCATTAGCATAGAAAATATATATATATATATATATATATATATATATATATATATATATATATACACACACACATATACATATATATATGTATATTAAATAATGAATAAAAAAAAAATAGAAATACCAGTAAGTATGTATAATATTAATATATAATTAAGGTAACGGATTGGATCGGTTAATGGATTGGATTGGGTTTTCTAAGGGCCCAATCCGTTAACCGAACCGCGAACAGCGAATTGCTATTTTTTTAATTCATCACCGAATTATGAGATCTGAAAATCGAATCGAATCACACAGATTGGATTAGTTTGGACCGGATTGACAGATTATTTGCTCACCCCTATAAATTTCTATGTTCAATGGACTAGATAATTATGATGAAAAGAAAAAGACTCGGACTCTTCACCATCCAACCATATCCATGAAGATTATGATACAAATGAAAACATTGTGATACTTAAAAAATAAAATTCAGCACAAGTTTGAGACAACCACTTTTTGTAAAAAGAATACAAGACAGTGTGAGAAGCCAAGGATGGCCTTGATGTTTTCTATCCGCACCTCTTCAATCTTCATTAGCATTCTATCAAATTCATATAAGAATAAGAAGAAGCAGGTTTCTAGGGAGAAATGATGATCTCACATTCAAAGATAAAAGACTTTATCCCACATTGAAAGTGAATACAAAATTAAGTGTGAAAGGATATTATAAAAACAAGAAATAAATTGTAAAAGTTTTTGAACATTGTCCCACATCGATTGGGAATGAAACGTTATCCTCCACAGCTAGTCCCCGAAGTCTTCAATTCCGGACACTTGTATATATGAACACGTGACAAAAACATGTGAGGTTTGGTAAAGATGAAAGCAGCAGCAGATATCGTAGCTGAGAGAACACTTCTTCAGTTCGATGCATTTTTCTACTTCAAATACTGTAGCAACGAGAAAGGCACGTAGTAACCTTTCCGTTCCGCACATAATCATTAATGTCGCTTACACGAGCTAACTTCCCCTGTACGATTACTGTTATATCCACTGTGCTTAAGTATCCAGATGTGAAAGTCTTCAATTCTGGACACTGGTATATTTCAACAATCGTCAAGGATGGGATTTTAAAAGCATTGTTTGCCTGACAAAAACATGTGAGGTTAGGTAGAGATGAAAGTTTCAGATACCGTAGCTGAGAGAACACAATTTCATCCGTGGCATCTTCTCCTTCTCCCCCTCCTTCATTTTTAAATATTTCTTCCATCACAGCACAATTAACAATGCTTAGATCCCTGAGTTGTGTGAGACTTCTTGCTATTGAGAGTGAGAATAGATACTTCAGTCCGACACATTTTTCTACTCTCAATTTTGTTAGGTTGTGAAACACCAGAAGCCCCTGCGGTTCCATTATCCAAATACGCTCCAATTTAGGTAAATCCACTAGTGTCAATTTTTTCATTTGAGTAATCTCAAACCGCTGTAGCAGGGTAGAAACATTTACAAAGTTGCTGCAGTTGCTCACCTTCAGGGATCTTATTACTTTGCAAAAGGGAAGGACATGGCAAGTACCTTCAAAGATGCTCTCATCACTCAGTATCAATCTATCCAAGATAGGAAATTCAACCTGCACGCAGAAATCACTCATGTGTGGAGCTAGCATGTATATTCTGATTAAAAAACATAAAGCAAGCCAAGCAATAATGAACCTTCTAATTTTTAGTTCTAATTCCATTTTTATGCTCTACAAATTAATTCTCAAATTATATATATAACTGCATATTAGGTTGTTGACAAGAAACAGAACCCCCAACCCCCCCACCCCCATATCCTGCTCACAGCTAGTAGCATTCATTTGAGGCTCTTTCTATTTTTGATTTTTGAGGCTCTGGTATATAAATAGATGGATTTAAATTGGTTTGCAAATTTTCAATAACACCAGAGAATATTGGAATAATAGTTTCCTCAAAACTGTAATAGGAATTAATGGACATACCATTTCATTCGGCAATGGTTGTAAGGGGGCATCCACTGTATTTAGCTCCACCATATTCAAGTTCCGCAATGGTTCAGTGTTCAGGTATCGGCAAGGAAACATCTCCAATTTGGGACAGCATTCTATTGTAATTTTTATTACAGATGGCAATTCAGAAATGCAATTCCTGCCGCAAAAGCTCATCAGGGACGGTAGGTCTGTAAAGACCACTTTATTTAATCGAGTGAACACAAGATTGTTCTCCACTTCTTTTCCCATAGCTTTATAGCTTGCAACTGTTTCTTCTGCTCCCTTTGATCCTTCAACTTTAAATACCTCTTGCAGGGAGTCGCACCGTTTCACACGGAGCTCTTTTAGGTTCTGGAAACTTGTAAGTGATTCTGTTGAAGCAACATTTAATAGCTTGAGACACCTATAGTTGTTCATTCCCTCAATAAACAACTTCTCCAAGAAAGGAAATTTAACCTGCAAAACATTTATCACTGATTTCAAGGACGTGGATGCAATAAGAAAAAGCCAGTAGAACAAACGTTCAATTGAAGGCTCAGTGGAAATCTAAGTGACATCCATTAATTTCAGTTGTTTAGTGCACCCAATGTTAATTAGGATTAATTAATGACACATGAACATACATACCTTGTGGTTGAAGAGAGCTTCTTGTTGAGGAATATTCTCCTTCAATATGCTTTCTTTTTCATTTCTGAAGCAGCAGAAACTACTGAACTTTGGCAAACTTGAAAGTTCCATTTTGTTTAATTGAGGGAACACTAGGATCTTATCACTTGCTTCTTCTTTGGATCCTCCACTACAACAGAAAGTATAGAGCTTTGGCAAACATGAAAGTTCCATAGTCTTTAATTGAGGAAACACGACGATCTCATCACCACCTTCTTCAATAGCAACCACTTCAACTCCAGATACAATTGAATCACATGAATTAACTTTGAGACTTTCGAGTTTCTGTAACAACAGGAGTACATTGGGTGGAATGACGTTTACTAGTTTCTCACAGTCATACACTTTAATGAGCCTCAGCTGCCGGAAGGAATCTTCTGCTTCTGGACCTAGGAATAATTGATTGTCCCATATTGCTGTGAGACTTTTCAAATATATAATCTCCAATTCCTCCAAAGCTGGGAACCTAACCTGCAAATTTCATTACATCACATTTCATGAATTGATCTTGAAAAAAGGTTAGGTTAGACTATATTATACTTACTAGAATGTAATAATTCAATTGAAATGAAAAGATATGAAATCAAGGATACTTTTAGTTTATTGTACTTCAAAATTTTATGGGTTGATGCTCTAAGATTATTGCACATAACATATTTATTAGTGTTGATGATCTGAAATCACAAATGAAAAAAGAAATATTGTACTTCAAAAACTGTCATAGTGTTGATAGGTTTAGTTTATTGAAAGAATTTGTAGGTAGCTTCACCAAAACACAGGATTAGAAAAAGCTTACACAATTGAAGCATTTAAATACATAATTATATTGTTTTAAGAAAAAAAAAAATGAAATTCATAATTTAATTAAAATTGTACAAAAAAGTGTATCAAGATAAGTTTTCTGTATTATAAACATTAAAATATTTTTTCACTTATCAACAATATATTAGTATTAGATTGCTCTGCGAGATGACATTTTGACAAGTGGGTAATGTGGCGCTTTGCCCAGGAGAGAATTTATACGAAATAATGTCAAGATCCATTTGATAAGAGTTTGTAAATCAAATAGTCATTTTATTACTTTTAAATATATGTTAGATTTCAAGTAGGTAAAATTTTAATCAGGAGAATTCATTCAATCTATATTCAAAGGTTAGGTATGTTTTTAATATTTTGTATATTCAAATGTTTCAATTCATCTAAGTTTCATCAAATTTTGGGTGATATAAGTTACATTTTAACAACAAAAAAATAAAAAATTAAATAAATAAATAAAAAGAAATTGAGATGTGATATGGGTCCGGAAAATCCAAGTAGTCTAACCAAATTCAAACCAAACTTACGTTTTTCACCTTGAACGGTGAAGGTAGAATAGATAATAATAAATTTCAATGTTTGTCTAGGAGCATACCTTATCATTAAACAGTTGTGCATGGCCAGACACATTGCATTCTTCAGCTGATGTATTGGCATTGAAGCTTCTCAGTTTTGGAAGATTCCACAGCTCAATTTTCTTTAATTGATGAAAAGTAACTGTATCCATGATTTCATTGTCATCTCCAACTATTTCTTCCAAGATTTCACAGTTACGTATGGTTAATTCTTGGAGTTGCAGAAGGCCTCTTGCTGCGACTGCGGAGAAGAGATATCTTGAATGACTGTTTATTACTTGTAAAATACTTAATTTACTAAAAGAACAAGACACACGTGATCCGATGGTCCGTGAATTCAAATTTGGTCGGCCAAATAAATGTTCTATCCCCTTACAATCCTCAACTCCAAGATATTTCAAGTCTAGAAACCCCTCACCATCTCTGCCTTGACTCACATTCTTTAAAATTTCGAGTTCTACTAAATGTAGCACTTCAGCTTTCTCCATCAAAATGTGAAGCTCCCTCTTCAAAGGAATTCCCACTAGTTTCAATATCCTTGTTGCTGTTGCTGTTGCCGAAATTTTCCCGGAACCCAATGATCCTAAGTCAAACCCAATGGATATTTGAAATCTGATTAACGACTTAGACAGGAGCTCATTGATGGGCAGTAACTTGACATTTGGCACACGAACTCTTAAACTTATTAAGCGAGTCAATGAATTTAGTTCAACCAGGCTTGCATTGCCTTCAATCTCCCATTGGTCAAAGCCTGTAATGTGAAATTCCTCAAGCTGGGATAGACTTGATATGACACCTGGAAGGATTTTGAGCTTGTAAATGCCTCTCACATCCAACGAGCGCAGACTAGACAAGTTTCCTATATCCAGAGTCAATTCTTCCCGATTAAAAAAATCTTGAATGCTTAGTATCTCAAGTTTTTGTAACTCCTTGAGAAAAGCTAGGTTCACAAATTTGCAATTGTATAACTGTAACATCCGAAGATTTTGAAGTGATAATGGTACTGTCGAGATGCACATGCCAAGCAATTGTACAACTTCAAGCTTCTCCATCCCTTTAAAAAAGTTACTTGGAACTTCTGGTGAAGTAATGTTGCTTTGAGCTATTGATAAAGGATAGTGACATTGCAACATTAAGGTGCGTAGTGCTGGATATTCTAAATAATCGGGAAGCACACAATCCTTTTTCAACGTTAGTGAGATTGCTCTGCATCTTTTATATTCATCATCCTCAGGCCACTTATCCACATTGGCTTTCATTAGAAACATGAAATCTCCCCCTTCTGATGCAATGGAGATGGCGACATCTCGAATGACATCGTGCATTTTCACGAAATTTTCATTTCTACCTTCTAAGAGTAGAGAATATACCTTGAGGGTATTGACCATCGTACGAGCTCTATTCCTAGCTGTTTTCAATGAATTCACGCCTCGGAAAAGCCGCATTCCAAATCCATAGCTCGCCAAGTCATCAATAGAAATCTCAGCATCTTCTCCGAACAAACAACAAAGCAAAAAAATTGACTTCGCATCAACAGGATGTAGATGATTGTAGCTCAATTTTATGCGCGAATAGAGTGTTTCCGCCATTCCCCCAATGTTATCTGTCGTAGAATTTTTCAGTTGCTCAAGTGCATCTTCCCATACTTCCTCACTCTCATTCTTTAGGGCTCCTCCAACTGCAAGTATTGCCAAGGGTAAACCTGCGCATTCTCCACACACCGCTTCTGCCACAAATTGCATTTCATGAGTTACGATAGAATCTCCTACCTTCTTCTTGAATAGGGACCATGCTTCATCTTCTGATAAGATTCCAATTTGGAAGTTCTCTTTGTCCTGAACACCCATCTCTTTGCATACGTCTCGTCTCCGAGAGGTCAACAAAATTTTGCAACCCTTACTATGATCATCTGTAGCTGGAATTCCTATGTCCTCCAACTTAATTTGATCATCCCAAACGTCATCCACCATTACAAGAATCTTGTTACCATTTTTCAGTCTTCGATGTAGCCGCCCCTTTCTTGCATCTCCAGTCTCTTCTTCTAATTTATAATTCAAACCTTCTGCAAGTTCTTGTTGAATTTCTTTTATATTTGGATTGTGGGTAACAACTACTTGGGCAATCTCATCAAAGAGCTTATCTTTTTCAGCTTGTTGGGCAACTTCCTTCATCAATCTTGTTTTCCCGACACCTGGCATTCCATGTATCCCAATTTTGTAAATCCTATCATCTTTTAGTGCCTCCATGATCCGCTTAAAAACCGTCTCTCTGGATTCAAAAAACTCATACTTCATGCTGTTTGAGCGCCAAATACCAGTGAGAGGAGGTCGACGTGCAACAGTGTCAAATTTGCCCTCCTCCATAAGCTTGGTAACAACAGTCTTCTTCTTTTTTCCTTCCTTACCCAACCTGTAGCGTGAGCATACATCAACACACTTGAGATTTTCTGTGCCTTGTTGTAATCTGTTGCTGACTTCTTCCATCATCTCCAATCTGGTGTGCACTTTATCAAGCCACTTGGAGACATTTTTCTCAACGACTTCACCATTGTTTTCGGCTTCATTGACCCTATCCTGGACCATTTCCTTGGCATCTCTGAGTTTGTCAACTTCAACACGAAATTCCTCAATGTTTTGCTTGCAGTGAAGCAAATAACCAAATTGATGTACTACGATGGGCTCTATCATCTTTTCCACAATTCTACTTATCACTTCCATTTTTAGTTTCTTTCTTTTTCTTCTCTCTCTAAGGAGATGTACGATGCAATTCGGAATATAAAGGAAATATATAGAAATACAGACAAATACACCGAGTTTGATTTTGAATGACAAACAAAAGTGAGAGAAAAGTGAAGATTCACAAAGAGACACTCAAGACAGATACAAATTCAGGTCCAAGAGACAGCCTAATTCAAATTTAACAGGAAAACTAAGACACTGAATGCGAGAAATTGCACACACAAAGAGAGAGAGAAAGGGAGTGAGACAAAATCAGATTCATCCAAGAGAACAAAATACAAAGCAGGACATGGGAGCACCAGAAAAACAGAGAGGAAAAAAACACTTGTTGTGGTTGAGGAAACTAAAGAAGAGAATTAAAAACCATACCTCTTGCATATTCTAAGTCTGATCCATGAAAAATAAAATAGATGACAGGAAAGTGAGATTCAGTAGATGTGAGACAGTGAAATAAGAGAGAATACAAATTTTGAGTGAGATACAAATTCAGATGGTAGAGAGAGAATAGAGAATTTTTGACCCTATAGAGAATAGAGATTGAGGGATTGCAGATTGAGAGAGAGAGAGAGAGATGCAAATTCTGATGGTAGAGAGAGAGAGTGTGTGTGTGTCATGATAAGGTAAAGTAAAATTTTACACCTTCAATCAATCATGTGTGCACCTTATCACTGTGCTGTTCAATTAGAATTAGGAAACTGAAAATAAATAAATTAGAATTAGGAAAGAAGTTTACAATTAAGTTACCTTTCGAAAAAACAAAACCAAAGAAGTTTACAATTAAGTTCATTTAACCTTACACTTTATAAGTTTATAATACATATAACTCAACATATGTGAAATTTGTGATTTTTTTATTATTAATTGTTTTCTGTTTTTTTCCCTTTTTTTCAAAAATTTACACAAAATTTTCTAGGGAAGTCCCATTACACAAATGATTTCTAAATCTTGCAGATCTTTTGATTCTTTTCATAACAAAAGGGAAGTGAGAATGCCTACAAAACTTTTTTTTTAAATGTAATAAATGTCTCCTTAAATATTTCGCCTTTTCCAAAACACTTATATATTGATGCAAAATAAAGCTTTTGAAAATAAACTTAATATTTGTCTCCTTGAAATTTAAATTTTTTTTTAACTTAAACTCTTTTAACTATACTTCTAAAAGCTTAAATGTTGAGAAACAAAAATGTAAACTCATTATTATTATAGTCACTTTCACAACATATTGTTATTTTACTTACATATACACTTTTACAATATCTATAATATTAATTCAAAGAGGAAAAAAAGGATAAAAATCACTAAAATCATTTATTATATTAACAATCTTTATTGGCATCTTGTTTAATTTAAAATTATTTTGTTTAGTTAAAATTCATTATTTTTTTTTTAATCTTTCATCTAGGTATATCTTCTCGATGTGGAATCAAAGTACTCAAATTTTTTTTTTTCAAAAATTAGATTTTTGATAAACTAAATCAATTGATAAAGAAAATTTAATTCTCCAATAAAGTTTATTTCTTTACCTCTTTTCTTTTTAATTACAACTCATCGTTCTTTCTTTATATACTTCTTTCTAATATAATTTTTTTTGTCTACTATTAAGTTGTATTTTTCTTATTTTTAATTTTTTTCAAAGTATATATACTATATAACTAATATTTAAATAAAATTATATTATAATTATAATTTATAATTTTTTTTTTAACTGCGAAAATGAAAGGGAAAAAGAAAGTGCAAAAGGACGTGATTTTCATGTGATGGCACACTAGCACTGCAAAAGGATGTGATTTTAATGTGAGGCGTTACTAAAGAAAAACCAAAAGGAAACCATCAAAAAAATAAACAGTACCACAAAAACATTTCCAATTGCTTTATTAATGTTTTATTCAAAATTGGACATTGGAATTTCTCTCAAATATTTTAATAAAATAGAATGTCGAGTCCAACGCTCAACAAAATTTGCTTGCAAAATATCAAAACACAATAAAATAAAATAAAATATATAAAATTGTCCCAGTTGCAAGTTTATGTACTGGTGCTTAGACTTGAAAGAAAAATAATACTCTTTCGTAATTACCCTTTGAGACAACTTACTTAGTAATATACTTATTTAAAATTAAAAGAGCACCATGATAATTTTACAAAAAAAAAAAATGATAGAGAGTTCAAGAATCAAATATATCCGATTAAATTTATATACGTAAATAAAGAAATCAAAATATTTAATGACATAATGATAACATCATCCTTATTCAATTCAATTATCAAATATATCAAAAAATCAAATTATTTATAAAATATTTTTCTTTTTTTTTTCCTTTTTTTTTTAATAGAAATAATCTATGTTAGGAAATATAAGATGGGCACATTAAAATTAAAATTGAAAAAAAAAATTAAATTAAACCATTTTTCTTTATTTTAATTTTAAGATCCGATTTTAGGATCGCAAATGCAATAGGGAAATATTGAGATGAATGATTGAGGTGAGAAATTGCACAGAGAGAGAGAGAGAGAGAGAGAGAGAGAGTGTGTGTGTGTGTGTGTGTGTGTGTGTGAGATTAAAACCGACAAATGCAGACTATTGGTGGATGTATTGACAATAAAATAGATGATAGAGTCACAAGTCCCCATCTGTGTCGTGTCAGTCGTTTTGGATTTGCTTTTGCGTTATTGGTCTCCACAAAATTTGGATCTCTAATTGTACAAGTTGTACACGGTAAAAAGAAATTTGACCTCTTTCAAATTTACCAGCACAAATTACACTCAGTAAAATTGTGTCAATAATTCAACGAAGATTTCAACGTTAAAAAGTGTGAAATTTTTTTAGTAAATAATGTTGGTGTCGCCTGTCAGTGCCTTAAGATACTCTATAATAATTTTTTTACCTAGTTAAATACTCCAATTTATTTGACATTTTACATGTATGAAAAAATTCAAAATTTTGACCTTTATATTGAAGACCTTCTTTTACTTAATATATAACTCAAATTATCTAAATAACATATATTTCCTTTGTCCCATAATGGATGAATATTTTGGAACTGTAATTCACATTATTTAAATAATATATACTCCTTCTGTCCCATATGTATATATATACATATATACATATATTTATACACACACATTTGTCATTAGGATGAAACTTTAATAGAATGATGAAGACACAAAAGATTACTCCTAACTAAAATAAAACTCTACTTGGGAAGCACATTTTTTTTCATATTGAATATTCTCTTTTACTTCAATCACCTTACCTTTATAGGATAATGAAAATATATAACATTTTTACTTGATCCAAAATTTATATATTATAAATATAAAATTACAAATCAAATACAAATGAAAATATATAAAATAATAATAATATTTATGATTTTTTAAAAAAATAGTAATCATTATTGTTAATGACAAAAGTTACTCTAACTTTGAGAATGGAAATTTTTTTAAAAAGGAAAATGATGTTATGAAGAAATGCAGCGAAGGGATTTTATGCCATACCGACGGCCATAACAAAATATATCCTAACCCTGATTTCAGAACTATAAATCACGGTAATATCTAAATTTCTACCGTACAAACTTATATTTCAATAAAATTTACAAATCTAAGTTAAGAATTTGTAAAATAATAATAATAATAATAATAATTTAGGAGCCATATTTTGGACTAAACATTATTTTATGAATTCATTTTATTGAAAATTGGTCCCCTCACTCTAGATAGTTGAATTCAAAAAATAAAAAGGAGAAGTACCTCGCATAAAGCATATTTAGAAGAATATACTCTAAATTAAAAGTTTTCCAAGTTATTATAATTTGAATTTGTTAAAAATATTGAATGTAACATGAAATAATCACGTAAATATTAAGGACATACTTGGTTTGTAATTTAGAAAACGATTCTCAGAGAAATTATAAAAGACTATTATCTAAAAACAGATATTTTTATAATTGAGTTTTCACAAAATAGTTTTTAAAAAACTGAATTAAGCAGAATTTTTTTTATATAATTTTTTATTTTTAATTTTTTGAGAACAAAAAGTTATTTTTATATTTACAAACTAAATAAGTTCTAAGATGTGATTGGATAATAATATTTCAAAATAACAACAATTAAAAAAATAAATATAATTCAAAAGAATTGGGAAAGGAGAATAGTTAGAGGCCACAAAAACATGAAAACAGAGTAGTTGTCCTATTGAGATTACCTTTTCTCACATCACATTCATCATTAAAGATTGAAAAGAAAACCAGTGACAAATTCACATGCGTGTGCGCCATTAACCCTTTGGATAAGGTCCTACAATCCAACCAAGTAGGGAGTGATTAGCCATTTCATTTAAAATTAAATTAAATACTTCCAAGTGTAAGTAAGATATTAAGCTCGGCAGAACTTTTAAATAATTATGCTCAAAAAATTACCAGATGTAAGGAATTTCTTAAGATACTATATTTAACCTCAAAATTCTTATCCGAGAATCTCATAAAATGAAACAAGTTGGAGATAATTAAAAAATAACTTATTTTAAAATCTTGTAGATTTCTACCATTTAAGAATGACAAATAAATTTCGATTATGAATTTTTTTAACTCTCATATGATAATTTTTTTTGAATCAAATGGCATTTGGACCAATAATATAATTTACTCATATTTAAATATGAAAAAAGGTTCAAACACAAGTAAAAAGATATGTGTTAGGATTTCAAGTCCGAGGCACAGTGTATATATATATGCTGAAAATGGGGCATACAAAATATAAACTTTGGGTAAAATTTTAAGTAGGTCCAGGTAAGAATTTCTTGCGGATCTATAGTCGAACGCGTCTATCTCCTTAAGGAGATAAATATGGTATATTTATTTTCTCAAATCCATTTCCGGGTAAATGAGAAATTATCTCCAAAGTAAGGTATTTGATAATTTTAAAAGGGTATGCAAAATGTAGGAAGTGGTTGTTCCACGTTAAAAATAAAGTGAAACCAATTGGAGTTTATATAGTTTAAGTTTTGGAATTTGAGTTTAGGCCCAAGGGCACCCAAGTTTTTAAGAGGGGGAGGACCTAGGCAAACTTGGATTTTGGCTGCCGGTTCAAAATGAGCATAAAAGAATTGTCTTCGTGATCAGAAGTTGGCTACCAGTTCAAAACAGGCAGAATGTAAACTTCCTACTTCAAACTTCTAAAACTTCCTAAGTGTTCTCACACACTCACATACATTTCTAAAGCATGAGTGTATTAAAGTATGAACACTTGGACTTCTTTATTCTTCAAATCCACTTCAGATTTTCAATCTTGAAATTCTTACTAAAATATTACAACTCAAACCCTTAAGACAACATTTAATTTACCCAAGCAGAAAAAGTAAATTACAATGATTGTCAAAAACCAATAAAAACATAACTTTTCTTGAACCATGTGAAGCTTCAACACTTGTAGCATCTCCCACCTGTAATCTGCACATTAGCTCAACAAAACTACTCGTGAAGCTTAATCAAGAAAAATAAACAATAAACATATATCAATATGTAACTATCAATATATATATATATATATATCTTCCTCAATTCTAGAAACTCTCCCCCTCTACCCCTTTTTGTTACAAATTGACA